CTATATTACTATAAAAATCTTAAAGATAACTTGCATCAGACTGTTAATAGTTCATAAAATGCCTTGGAGAACTACTTCCAGCCACAGAAAATGCTCCCAGTGCTTCAACATACACAACTTACTAATGCAAATACAAGTTTCAAGTTTAATGGGAGACATATTAGATTCTTAAACCTCTATTTATTACGCCTGATTATTTGCTTATGCGTGGGTGCACACACACGCAAGAGAACAAGCATAAATATCCAGTGTGTGTGAGTATGTGTAAGAATCTATGGCATAGAGGTCAAATACCAAAAGAGGCTGAGTCATCCATGCAGTATTTTAAAGAAGTTAGAACTCCAGAGGCTCTTTAAAAGCACAGTACTGAAATGTATATTTACATATAAATGCTTGAAGATGTTTCTCATCCCTCTCTTTCGTTATAGCTTTCATTTTAATATCCTGGAAAGAAAAACTAAGAGCTGAAGTAAACATTGATTTCCCACTTGTGATTTGCCGGCCATTATGCCTGTTTAGCTATGGCACTCCCTGTCCATACAAACTTATTTGCTTCATGCCATTTCTGTCACATTCTGCTAGCAAGTTTAAGTTAGGATGCAGCTAAAGATTGGTAAACCAAAGATGACTAAAAATCAAAGAATTTATATCAGAAGATGTGTCTTAGATTTTACAGACTTGCAGAATATAAGAAGGATTCTCCTAATAAAGGAAGTTTTGTGTGGCTGATGTGCCAGCTCACACACTTCCATAACACACACAGGACTCAGAGCAAATAATATATCTTCTCAATTTTCAACTAACTGTTCCTCAGTGGAATCTGAGTAAGGTTTTACCATATTTTACATTTTAAATCCCTCCTGAATGTCCTAGGTACAACATTTCTAAGTATACCACTTTATTATACATGACCTTCCTCAAGAGCTAGATGCTACTCAGGGACAGTGAACAAGCCTGCTCAACAAACCTCTCTTTATCTTGTGAATACACACAAGGGGCTTATCTTCTCAAAGCCCACCGCGAAGCGCGCGTAGCCATGCGGTGGCAATGTTACAGCAGCGGCAAACCAGACTCACGGTCAAAACAGCAAGGCTACTAGTTGTTAGACACACAGTTGGCCAAATCAAGTGCTGTACAGCTGTCTGTTGCAATAGTAGAGGATATGGAAACCTGCACTGCAAGTCAAAACAAAATGAACAAAATTCACCTTGCAGTATGTCTAGGGATCTAGCCCAAGGAACCTCCTGACCTGCTGTTTGCATCCAATTTAGCGGATACTATCAGGTACTATGTTTAGCTGTAAAATCTCCCTACAGACAGAAACAACTCAAAGGTAGTCAAATCTTGCTATGCTTTAGCTGTTAAATACCATTGTCCAAGCAAAATACGACGCTCATGAAAATTTAACTAATGAATTGGACTTCGCGCTGAAGCAGACGGTGGTGCAGTTGGGTGCTGCTGCTCTGATGGGAGCTGCTAATTAAGAGCTGACAAGTAGTAGCTTGTTAATTCTTCTGTTCGTATTTCACTGTAAGCGAAGCTACCTGTGGCGCTCATCCCTTTCAGTGCAAAGTCAAACAGGTTAAACTTCATCCCTGCTATTAGCCACCATTTGGCTGAGATTTGGTATGCAGTTAATTGCAATGGAAAGACAGTTTAAGGAGTTGATCCTTGCCACTGCTCAGCTGCAAGTTTCTGCCTTTCAGCTCTGCATCCCTGGGGCTTGCTATTATTTCTTCCACACTACACAGTGAAAAGATTTCAGGCTCAACAGGAGGAAGAAGGTAGGCTCAGTCCTAGATTTGTGGCTTTCACGCTGTGAGACTGGCTGAGATTGGGCAGTTAGGAAACTTGGACGCAGACCTAGCTTTACATTTATAAGCACATTATAATACAGCCTCTAGTATTTCTTAAAGTGTAACTTTTTATAGTATGCCTAAAAC